GGGGTTACGGGCAGTACGGATGTACTTGTTAAAGGTTGAGGAGACAACGGTCATGTGGAGCAATTTATTTTATATTTATAGTGTGGCCTCTCATTTATTCTGCCCGAAAACCTGCCCAAACCCCTCACTTGTTGTTGCCCCCTCTATTATTGACTAATTCTCTATTATATTAAAATCTGGTGCCACGATTTCGTTACTGAATTATTTCGTCGGGGTGTGTAATACCGTTAGATCATTATATAATCGTAAGATTTAGTTGATCTAACAGTTACAAGTCCCGACATAATGGTTTTGTAACGGGACCGTAACATTTCTCTAAAATTTGATCCTAATATATTTTAAGGTTTAAATTTTCTTAATCTATATCTATATAACTATGGGCAAGCTTTATTTAATTTTATTCAGCCTCCAATTAATAATAATATGAGTTCATTTTATAAAAATAGGTTGCATTTAATAAAAAAATTTATGACCTCCATTCAAAAAAAACCGCTACAACATTTTTTTTTTCTTTTAATTTATTTCATACAACCATCCACCTATTTTTTACTATATTTTGGATTTGTAACGGTTACGTCCGATTACTATTTTTTATTTCTCTATATTTGGAGAATATGGTTACGAGATAATGTTAAAGTCCTTAAATTTGAATGGTTAAAAATATTTTTTCAACATGTATGTTGACTATTTATATGCAAAAGTATTAAGTATTGATGCTAGTGATACAACACAAAATACATATAAGAAAAGTCATCTTTTGTAATAGAGATCTTTTAAATCAACTCATTCAATTTCAAAATTTTCATCTAAGATTGTACACTATATTAGTTGAATTTAATGAAAATTAATTATCTATTTTATTTTATATAATAAATATAGTAATGAATTTGGATACTTTTATGATGTTCATTTATACTAACGACAAAATTTTTAAATTGCGATACTATTATTTAACTTATTATTTTATAATTGTATACATATACGTAACTTGTAAGTTATGATATAAATTTATGTGCACGTGCACATGATCAAATACTAGTTAACATGGGAAATTAACATTTTGTTTTACTCCATGATTGAATATCTAATTAATTTTAAATTTATGTCCAAAAGTAACTGTAAGTACTAATTAATAAATTATTTAAAAATTTTAATGTTTACAGCTTTTTTCTTTTGTTTTTTTTTTAAAAAATAAAAAATCCTACTTATAAAACAGTAGTATTTTGGTTTTTTTTTAGCTTGATCGTTGTTGTTGTTGTTGTTGTTTTTTTTTTTTTTTTT